TCAAGAGACACAAATCAAAAGTAAAACACAAAATAAATAACTCCAAGGTTGCTGCCTGAATAATGCATTACATATGCACTGGCTTACCTATATCTTATTACTTCACACTTGTGAACAGTTTTGCCTTTCAGGGTATATGTAGTAAGGCACTATTACATGTATACTGGCTTACCTGTATCTTATTACTTAACACTTGTGAATGGTTTTGCCTTTCAGGGCATGTGCAGTAAGGCACTATTACATGTATACTGGCTTACCTGTATCTTACTACTTCACACTTGTGAACGGTTTTGCCTTTCAAGGCATATGCAGTTAGGCACTATTACATGTATACTGGCTTACCTGTATCTTACTACTTCACACTTGTGAACGGTTTTTCTTTTCAAGGCATTATGCAGTAAGACACTATTACATGTATACTGGCTTACCTGTATCTTACTACTTCACACTTGTGAATGGTTTTGCCTTTCAGGGCATATGCAGTAAGGCACTATTACATGTATACTGGCTTACCTGTATCTTACTACTTCACACTTGTGAATGGTTTTGCCTTTCAAGGCATATGCAGTAAGGCACTATAATGTAAACAATGAATTTTTTTAAGCATATTATTCTTTAGTGTTAAGCTTTAACACACCTCCAAGAAAGCAAATGAAAACTGTTTACTTCCTTGACTTTGTATCATTTTTTCTTTGTCTTATTTTATTACCATTTATATTACATAATTACGCTACCAACACAGATCTAGGCGTCTTTTTTAGGCGTCATTTCAAACCAAGACCATTGTAATATTAATTTAAGCAAAGCAAGAAATAGAGTGACCACAGTAAATCCGTGAAACTGTCGTTATACTAAATAGCACTATTTCATGCAAATTCCATTGTTTTCTATTGTTTAACTAGAACTATTTTGTNATGTATACTGGGTTACCTTAATCTTACTACTTCACACTTGTGAATGGTTTTGCCTTTCAAGGCATATGCAGTAAGGCACTATTACATATTTACTGGCTTACCTGTATCTTATTACTTCACACTTGTGAATGGTTTTGCCTTTCAAGGCATGTACAGTAAGGCACTATTACATGTATACTGGGTTACCTGTATCTTACTACTTCACACTTGTGAACGGTTTTGCCTTTCAAGGCATGTACAGTAAGGCACTATTACATGTATACTGGCTTACCTGTATCTTACTACTTCACACTTGTGAATGGTTTTGCCTTTCAAGGCATGTGCAGTAAGGCATTATTACAGGTATACTGGCTTACCTGTATCTTATTACTTCACACTTGTGAATGGTTTTGCCTTTCAGGGCATAAGCAATAAGGCACTAAAATGTAAACAATGAATTTTTAAGCATATTATTCTTTAGCATTAAGCTTTAACAGAATCGGGAAAAGCAAATGAAAACTGTTTACTTSCTTGACTTTGTATCATTTTTTCTTTGTCTTATTTTATTGGCAATTTATATTACATAATTACGCTATCAACACAGATCTAGGCGTCTTATTTAGGCGTCATTTCAAACCAAGACCATTGTAATATTAATTTAAGCAAAGCAAGAAATAGAGTGACCACAGTAAATCCGTGAAACTGTCGTTATACTAAATAGCACTATTTCATGCAAATTCCATTGTTTTCTATTGTTTAACTAGAACTATTTTGTATTATTTAGTAATTAGTGTTTCACGGATTTACCGTGGTCACTCTGGAAATACAGTTCAATTAGTGAATATATAGAATCTCAGTATGAATTAGTCATGTACAACGTAGTTACCTCAGTTTCAATCTTGTTTTTTAATTCCTTGTACTTGTTATAGCTGGGGTTTTCATATTCATAATTGTATGTCAAGTCAGTGAACTCAATGGCCAGCTCCTCCTTATCACATCCAGATCCACCTAATATAGTAGAGAACAATTAGGCACTAATACAAAGCTTATGAAATAGTACATTTGGTAGCAAACATACAGCTCTTGTAATTAACTAATAATCAGCCAAAACAGCAAAGGAAAAAACATGATACTTTACTTTTAAAATTGCAATGATCATATATCATATATATTTATTTCTGGTATTGTTGAAATGCCGTTATTTGTAAAGAAACAGCTATGTTTCAATGGCCCAGTGTTTTTGTGATTATATTTAAAAACCACCCACGCCATATTTCTATTGTTTGATGTAGGATTGAATTTCGATAGAAAACCTAGATTTAACCTTGATTTAAAGTTTGGGGCAGTATTGATATAACCAGGGGAAAGCGGGGCTGAATTCAAAACCCGGGACGTACATGTTTTCCATTGAAATTCAAACCCTACATCAAACAATAGAAATTGGGCGTGATTGGTTTTTAAACCAAAACCGTACTCAGGTTTGCATTAAAATTCAAGACCTCGGGCCTGCCTGAAGTTAAATACAACTGCTAATAGAAATACCTACTTACATGTTGAAAACTGTACAAATGCAGTTGCACTAGCATTCTCAGCTATTCCAGTACTTTTGGCTGTGCATCTGTAGACCCCGACTTTAGAGGTGTCAAAGTTTGTTATTGTTAGTGGGCTTCCTTGAGAGAAAACTTGGGAGCTTCCAATCTTTTCCCATGTTATTAT